GCCAGGAGTCACCCCTGAACACAGCTGGGCATGGCCCCAAAACCAACCAACCAAACAAACAAGGCTATGCTTTTATGTAAGGATCTCCAAAAAAAAAAAAAAAAAAAAAAAAAAAGTTAAACTTTTTTTTTTTGCTTTTTGGGTCACACCCAGCGATGCTCGGGTTACTTCTGGCGGTGCTCGGGGGACCATATGGGATGCTGGGAATCGAACCTGGGTTGGCCATGTTGCTGCGTGCAAGGCAAATGCCCTACCCGCTGTGCTATCGCTCCAACCCCGAAAAGTTAAACTTTGGGGGCAGAAGTAAAGGCATTTGCCCTGCGTGTGGTTACTCTGGTTTCATCCCTGGCACCGCCTACGGTCCCTGAGCACAGGCAGGATTGGTCCCTGGGCATAAATAAGCCTTGACCTCTCTACTCTCTGACCCTAGGCCAGGGAGCAGAGTCAGACCACTTCAAGTGTGATTCCCGGAACCATGTGACCCTTAGCCCTCAGCACTGTGGGGGAGACCCCTACTGAAGAAAAGGGACCTCAGGCCAGGAGCTGCCTCAGAAAGTTCCATCCGGGGGCTGGAGTAATAGTACAGCGGGTAGGGCGTTTGCCTTGCACGGGGCCCACTTGGGTTCGATCCCCAGCATCCCATAGGGTCCCCCAAGCACCACCAAGAGTAATTCCTGAGTGCAGAGCCAGGGGTAACCCCTGAGCATCGCTGGGTGTGACCCAAAAAGAAAAGTTTAATTTCATGCTTTGCACGTGGAAGCCTGGAGTTTGGCCCCACCCCATGCGGCCCTGAGCTTCCCTGGACAAAACGCTCTTTTCCCTGCATGCAGCAGCCTCACCCCTGCCCGCCCTCTCTGTGTGGCTGCTATTTCTGGGAGGCTCCGAGTCCACATACGTGGCTGTTCGGCCTGCTCTGGGGGTGGGGTGGCCCACAGTGCACAGCCTAGATGCTCAACCACACAGATGAGGCGTTCAGGGATGGAGTGAGTGACAGTGCAGCGGGTAAAGTGCTCCCCTGACACTCAGTTGACACGGGTTTGATCCCCGCATTCCCGTGTGGCTCCCTAGCCCCACCAGCAGTGATAACAGGGATTCTCGAGTCTAGAGCCAGGGGTCAGCCCGGAGCACCACTGGGTGTAGCCCCCAAGTGAAAGCAAACAAAAGGAAAAAGAGTGTGCATTTGGCCATGACACTGAGGGTGCCACGTGGCAGAACCACCAGACTGGCACTGGGATGGGGGTCGGACCCGTAGCCTCACCAAACTTACACAGTAGATGCTTCTCCACTCATTTTCCCTGGGCGCCTGAGAAGAGTGCAGGCTGTGGTGGGAATTATTCTACCCTCTAGTGCATTTTCTTTTCTTGTTTGGTTTTGGGGTGACATCTGGTGACCTCCTCAGGGCTTACTCCTGGCTCCGTGCTTGGGAATTACTCCTGGAGGTACTCGGGAGACCATACCGGATGCCGGGGATTGAGGCCAAGTTGACCGTGTGCAAGGCAAGCGCCCTCCACGCTGTCCTGTTACCCCAGCCCAGTCCTGGGCACTTTGGTGGTGAGAGGTATGAGACCATATACATCAGCCCTGCCTCAACGACAATAAGCAAATCATCACGTGGATGCAATTCCCTGCTTCTCCCTTTATTGCCATTGTTCTGAATGGGGTGATGCCCTTAGACTGGGGTGCTCTGGGCTGGGATGACTTGAGCTGATGGGACTTGGGGTGTGTGGGCAGCACTGGGGATGGATCTCACAGCTCCACAACTGCAAATGGGTGTCTTGGCGCTGAGCAGTCTCTTGGACTTCGGGAGTGGATTCTTTTATAAAGTCAGACAGAATTTGCCTGACCGGCAATCAAGCATGAAGGCAGTCACGTGTCCAGCCTTAGCGATTCATGGTTTAGTTCTGCTGTCCCCCAGCCCGTTAGAGACAGAAATAATATCCATCAGTAAAGAGAAATTCAACCACGAACTGTTGAGCCAATTAAGGCTTAAGAATTTGTCCTTGAGGTTACGACTCAGTGCCAGGGCTCTGCCAGCCGCCACCTGTGCAGGCTCTGATAAACTGTGGGAGAGCACAGTGGCCCCAAACAGCATAAAGAAGCTATTTTGTCCCTTACCCGTTACATCTTGTTCCCCTCCAATCCCGCCGCACTTTAATCAACGCCTTGTTTCTGGAATGCAGTTTTGGGGGATAAATGATAATAGCTCTTGAGCACTTGTCAAGGGCTCTGGGCCTCGGCTCCCTGCAGTGAACAGAAAGATGAATAAAGCTTCTTGTCCATCTACTTGGTTTTAGTGACTGAGTTGGGGAAAACTTGGGTGCAACAGTTTCACTTTAGGGGGCTGGACCTTGCACGCAGTTCGATTCCAAGCATCCCATATGGTCCCCTGAGCACTGCCAGGAGTAATTCCTGAATGAAGAGCCAGGAGGAACCCCTGTGCATTGCCGGGTGTGACCCAAAAAGCAAAAAGAAAAAAACAGTATCTTTCTTTTTTTTTTTTTGCAGGGACGGTGGCTGGGGTATTGGGGAGTGCGTGGGTGTGGGTGACCCTGGCAGGGCTCAGGAGCTACTCCAGCTTGGTGTGCAGGGGGTCACCCAGCGATGCTTTGGGGACCCTGCACTGCTGGCCATGAGACGTGGAGTGTTTGCACAGCCCAGCTGGGCTCAGTGGAGCGCCTGCATTTTGGATACAATAACCGATGGCTACACTCAAGTTTTCAGAGAAGGTTAACAAAGTTACTAGGAAAACCTAGACCCCAAAGCCCTCAACGGCAAATACAAATTCTGACTGGCAGAGACCTGTCCCATAGTTTCATTTATGTTTTTTGAGGTGGGGGGTCAGGCTGGGGTGGGGGTGGGGGGTGGGGATGAGGGTTGGAGGGTGATTGAGTCACACACAGCTCAGGATTTACTCCTGGCTCTGTGCCCAGGAGTCACTCCTGGTCACATCAGGTCACATGAGGTGCCAGGGACTGAAACACATTTAGCCACTTGCAGGGTGGTAATCTTCACACCATCTCTAAGGCCTCATCGGCTTCCTATTTTGATCTCTCTGATTTTAATATTATCGAAGTGAGAAAGATTAGAAGCAGAAGCAGGAAATGAGAGGCAAGACGATGAGTGGGCAGAGATGAATGGGTCAGAAGTCACAAGAGTTCAACCAGAACAGGAGAGTAGACTGAGCGGGAATGGGGGCAGGGGGAGCACAGAAACAGGAGCCTCTAGGGACCTAAACTCATTCAGCAGTGCCCACCACGCACAGGTTAGCAACGCTTTCTCTAGGGCCAGAGCAACAAGACGGGGGGAGGGCACTTGCCTTGCACAGGGTCAAGCCAACCCAGCACCCTGTATGGTCCCCGGGGCCCACCAAGAGTGATCCCTGAGCAAGAGCCAGGAATAAGCTCTGAGCACTGTCCAGCGAGGCCTACAAACATGAGCCCCAGTACTTCCTTAGGGCTAGAAGTGACGCTGTGGGCCCCAGAATCCGCATGTTCAAGGCTGTGATGTTTTCCTCAGCTCACTCTGGAGGGTTGCCGGGCTGCAGGGAATCCCATCCCACCAGAAAACACCCACGAGCACACCAAGCGTTTGCTGAGCGGGCGCCGCTGTCTGGGGCTCAGCTTCCCTGAGTGGGTGCCACTGTTTGGGGTACAGCCACCCAAGCTGTGTTCCCTTGTGTCTGGGATAGGGCCGTCCTGGCTGAGTGGGTGCCGCCGTGTCTAGGGTTCGGCCACCCTGAGCGGGTGCCGCTGTGCCTGGCTCACCGCCCTGGCTGCTCTTCCGATTCTCCCTTCTCCCACTGGGAGTCTGTCCAGCTTTGTGACTGCATCAATCAATGTGACTCACGTTCCCACGGGGCGTGGGGGGAGCCCTGGGGGACACTGCACAGCCTCCTGCCACGGCGGGGCCCTCACCAGTGGGCGCTAAAGCTCACCTCCTCCTTCCATTGGCTGCGGGGCTGGTGAGAGGCTCTGTGTGTGTCGGGGGGTGGGGTGGGGGGGGACAACAACCCCTGGGTGTCCTAGGAGGCAGAGGCTGCTGTGTTCAAGGGGTCACACAGAGAAGGGCCAGGAGAGGTTTCTCCAGGCAAGCGGAAGGAGAGGACTGGAGCAGGGGACCCCGAGTGTGAGAGGGAGTAGGGAGTAGGGGTCCCAAGTGTGCGGGGGAACAGGGGACCCCGAGTGTGGGGAGGTAGTGGGGGCCCTGAGTCACCAGGGGTACAGCCACTGCCTCAGCCCCCATAGTGGACGACCACCAGGCCCCCCTAGCTTCACCCCTTTCGCCAGCCTGTCGTGTGACCTGTGGTCCAGGCAGAGGGGCCACACATTAAGATGTTCCCGGAAAGGGATGATGAGGGAAACTCAAACAGCAACAAGCACATGGACATGCGAGACAGACGCTCACAGAAAGTGCTTAGAACAGCGAGCATCGGGGCAGACAGACCACAGCCCTCGGTGCTGGGAGACTGGCACGGTGCATTCCCCACGACAGGACAGAACCCAGGGGACCCACCTGAATGACAAGGTCAGGGTCAAAGACGTCCATGCACCCGATGTTAACTGCAGTACCAACAGCAGAGATGGGGCCCCCCAAAGGTCCCTCTGGCTCAAGAACGCGGAAATGTCGCTGCTTACAACAAAATGGGAAGAAACATCGGGAGCAGGCAGGCAAGACCTTCAGACAGGGACAGGCAGACCATGGGCGGTTTCACTGACGTATATAAGGAAACCAGAGAGATAAACGAACAAGACAAAGGGAAAATAAACCAGACACAACCCAGCGAGGCCATCCGAGAGGAGCTACAAAATTTGTTTTTATTTTTATTATTTTGGGCCACACCTGGCGGTGCTCAGGGAACATTCCTGGCAGGCTCAGGGGACCCGACAGGACGCTGGGGATCAAACCCTGGACAGCCTGTGCAAGGCAAGTGCTCTCCCTGCTGTATTCTCCCTCCTATAAAATTTGGTTTCATCAAAAAATAAAATCTCTGAAGCTGCGGTATCAGCTGCTCCTGAGACCCCAGTGTCTCACGAGGATGAAAAAGGCCCGTTTTTCTACAGCAACGGATGAGCAGGCTGGCGTGGCTGTGGCTGCTTTGAGCCGACGCAGATCAGTTTGGCGGGTGCGATCGGGGGCCAGTGCGCAGATGAGTCTCTGGAGCCCAGACTCCACCAAGGGAGACGGTGGACACGGAGCAGGACGACAGGCCAAGAGCTCCACCCACACCTTCCCTGGCCCCAGGGCGCGCGCAGGACGGAGGACACAGAAGCATGACTCCTGTGTTCCCAGACTGTGCGCACTCGTGCCCCCTGAGGTCAGGCCCACAAGGCCGTGTGGAGAGCGGGTTCGGACCCTGGTTCTCTTCAGCACCATCAGCTGCAGCCATCTATCTGCCAGGGGAAAAAGCAACTGTGCTGCTTTCTTCCCATTCAGGTCAACCCGAGCATAGGTTTGTCCACGCAAGGCACGTGTGGCCCCTGAATGGGTTTCAGGAACCGTTGTGAGGGCAGCCATGAGGGCAGCTGTTGGCGCCCAGGGAGCCGGTCTGGCCTCAGTGGCCCTCGCTCTCCTCGCCACCCTCGCTGTCATCGTCGTCGTCGTCATCGTCGGCATAGAAAATGTCTCGGAACAGGAAGGCCGGCTTGGGCGCTGCGGGGGTCTGCATCTTGGTGCCCCTTTTCTCCACCAGCTTCTCCAGCTTGTCTTTCAGCAGAGGGAGGGTGACCTCGTAGAGGTAGTCTATGATCTCTGCCAGACAAACAGACCCGGCCTTTCAGAAGCGACGCGAGCAGCTCCACCGTCCCTAACCCACCAGGCACGCGAGGATGGGGCCAGGCTGAGCTCGGCAGCCAGGGGCAGAGTCCAGAGGCAGCCGGGACCCAGAGACGTTCCCCCCCCCCCCCCGGCCTGGGACTGCGGACAAGCCCCCCACCAAACTCTGCTGATCAGAGTTCAGAAGTGACACTGCGCCTGGGAATGGCCGTGCAGCACCGGGTCCCCAGGACACACGCATGACAGTACGGGCTGGCAGGAGGCGAGGATGCCCGTTCACGGGTGCAGGACACAGGCCCAGAAGCCCCCACATGGCACTTGCCACGCGCCCCGTGAACACTGACCTGGAAACGTTTTCTTCTGCCAGAAGGGAACACAGGTGGCTTTCAGTCTGTAGAACTTGGTTTGAACGTACGATGGAGGGACGTCACTTTAGGAAAGAAAAGCAGAGCCGGGTTGAAAAGGATCAGATACCTCCACAGAAGGTACCAAGGGGATTCGTGACGGTGGGTCTGCGACACAGGGATGCGAACGGACAAGCGTACCCAAAGCAAGGCACACTAGACGCTACCAATCTAGCAGACATATACACGTGTGTGCGCATGCCTGTACACACCTGCACATGCACCCAGAACCGGTCGGATATCCTGGAGCCACAAGGGGGGCTGCGGTTCTTCCCCTGGCTCTGGAGGCAGGGAAACTGAGGCACAAATCATTCAAGAGCTCACAGTGAAATCAGGGCGGGTCGGAGGCTGGGACTCCAAGAGTCAGTTTTGGTACTTCTAAATCCCATAGTTGGGGCTGCAGAGATAGTACCGAGGCGAAGGAGCTGGCCACGCAAGCAGGTCTGACCCCGCACCCCACATGGTTCCCTGAGAATAGCCGGAGTAACCCCCAAGTGTAAGATAACATTGGTTTGTCCTTTCTCCCTTGCCACAGGGAGCTTAGGTTTACTGGGTTATACCCATCACAGTGCTCTCGAGTCACCCCCATTCCTGTTGATCTGTAAACTCTTCTCTGCGCTCTCCTCCCCAGCCAGTTAATCACCTTTTCTCCCTAATCAGATTCTGTTAGCTTGTAAGATCAATCCTTCTGAGGACACTGAACTTGTATTGTAAGCAATGTCCTTTCTGTATGGACACAGGAAGACAGTTAATGTTATGCTTGGGAGTTGATTGACTCCGAATAATATTTACTCCTGGGCATCTGCTTTCTTGACTCAGTTGCCCTTGGTTCCTAGCACCCCAAAAGCAGGGTCCCAATGAGGGACTGAATAGACCCAGGACAAGCTGTGAGCTACGCTGGCATTGAAATGGGCCAGGCCAAAGTGCCACGATACTCAACTATCAGTTGAGGGCATGATCACGAACAAATGCTGTCATGATCCAAAAATAAGTAAAGACGAGACTAGGACCAGACCCTGCTGGGGCTGGCCTGAGGACTGCGGAATATATAGTGAGATGTCCTCAGGAAGAACCAAACTCTAAGTTTGTATCTCTTACTGTGCTCATACAAATGACATTGCTAGAAATATTGGAAGTAGATTTACTACAACTACTTAAGTAGATTACTAGCTGAGGAAAGAACACACCCTTGTTGGGATCCCACCCTTGAGCAGATCTCCTAGTAATCAGGAATAATCTCTTTAGATGAGGCTGAGGCTGAGGCTGAGGCTCAGGCAGGGGCACGGGCTTGGGATCGGGCTCCAGAGGGCAGAATCAGAAGGGAGAGGGGTTGGGGGGGGGGGGGAGAGCGAGCGGAAGGGGAGTGAAGATTGGAATCAACTACGATTGATATGGACCAGCCTGGCCCTTGTTCCTTCCTTCGCCTGCCCATCGCCATCGACCTCCCCGGGGTGGGGGAAGCAACGTGAGAAAGCCGAACGCGGGCGGCGCTAAGGATAGAGCGCCACTGGACTTTTGAAAACACATACCCAAGCAAGAATTTTTTTTTTTTTTTTTTTTTGCTTTTTGGGTCACACCTGGCGATGCTCAGGGGTTACTCCTGGCTCATGCACTCAGGAATTGCTCCTGGCGGTGCTCGGGGGACCATATGGGATGCTGGGAATTGAACCTGTGTTGGCCATGTTGGCTGTGTGCAAGGCAAACGCCCTACTCGCTGTGCTATCACTCTAGCCCCCCAAGCAAGAATTTTTAAGAATAATAAAATAAAGACCCATTTCCAGAACCACCACACGTAGGGCAAATGCACGCTTGTCACATGCCTCTGCAGAGGTGCTCCAGTGTTTGTCAAGTCATACTTACATTTTACACTATTTATTTATTCATGTTTTGGGGTCACACCCGGCGATGCACAGGGGTTACTCCTGGCTCTGCAGTCAGGAATTACTCCTGGTGGTGCTTGGGGGCCATATGAGAACTGAACCCAGGTCGATCGCGTGCAAAGCAAATGCCCCACTTGCCGTGCTATTGTTCCAGCTACCTTTTACATTTTCTAGTTTAGGGTTTTTTTTCTTTTTTTGCTTTTTGGGTCACACTCAGTGATGCACAGTGGTTACTTCTGGCTCTGCACTCAGGAATTACTACTGGCGGTACTCAGGGGATCATATGGGATGCTGGGAATCAAACCTGGGTCAGCCGCGTGCAAGGCAAACGCCCTACCCGCCGTGCTATTGCTCCGGCCCCATTTTACATTTTTTAAAGGGGACCTGTGGTGTCCAAGGGACCTTCTACCATGCCGGGACCAAACTGGGGTCATCACGTTCAAGGTGACATGTGCCTTAACACCTGTCCTAGCTCTCCCACCCTCTAGTAATTTTCCCAAAGTTCCTTTCCTAAGGCTGTTAATTCCTGGAGAAATTTCTTCACTCTGTAGCAGCGCTATCTTGGCTTTCTGGTAAAAATGATGAATTTTAACAAAACACCACCTAAACAAAAATTCACATGTAGCCTGGATTTCAGCCCTGCGATGTAAAGTCAAGGAAACAGTCTTTTATTAAAAATTTAGTGGGATGGGGCTGGAGAGATAGCACAGCGGGTAGGGTGTTTGCCTTGCACGCAGCCGACCAGGGTTCGATTCCCAGCATCCCATATGGTCCCCTGAGCACCGCCAGGAGTAATTCCTGAGTGCAGAGCCAGGTGTGACCCGAAAAGCAAAAAAAAAAAAAAAAAAAAAAAAAAATTTAGTGGGAGGCCGGAGAGATAGTACAATGGGTAGAATGCTTGCCCTGCATGCAGCCAACCAGAGTTCGATCTCCGGCATCCCATAGGGTCCCCCGAGCATGGCCAGGAGTGATTCCTGACTGCAGTGCCAGGAGGGACCCCTGGAGCATCTCTGGGTATGACCCAAAAAAAACAATAAAAAACAAACGAAAATTTGGTGGCCCGGAAAGATAATACAAAGGGTAGGGTGCTAGCCTTGCCCTTAGGCCAACCCAGACTTGATCCTGGGCACCACGTAGGGTTTCCCAAGCACCACTAGTAGTGACCCCTGAGCACAGAGCCAGGAGTCAGCCCCAAGCACTGTCCCCCAGCCCCCACCCCTGAAGAAAAGAGGCTGAGAGATAGTCAGCAGGTAAGGTGCTTGCCTTGCACATGGCCAACCCAGGACCATTCTCTGGCACCCTGAGTCCTTCCCGGAAAGATGTCAGGAGTCAGCCCTGAGCACCCCTGGGCTGCAACCTCCAAGAAAGGACTCTAACAGAATGATATCACTAGCAAACGAGGGCTCACCCGATGGCACCAGCAAGATCCTCCCAATCGATTTCATTGGCATCTTCCACGTTGATTTCATACAATCTAGAAGAAATTTAAAAAGTGTTGCAGGGGAAAGCCCCCCTCCACTAGGCAGTCCTGGAGGTTGGGGACCATGTGGTGGTGATGTGATATTGAGCGATGACCCGGCCCCCTAAGGAGCAGGCTCTAGAGTGTGTGTGTGTGTGTGTGTGTGTGTGTGTGTGTGTGTGTGTGTGTGTGAAACACCCAGAGAGGCTCACTCCTGGCTCTGTGCTTAGGAATCACTCCTGTGTGTGTGTGTGTGTGTGTGTGTGTGTGTGTGTGTGTGTGAGAGAGAGAGAGAGAGAGAGAGAGAGAGAGAGAGAGAAAGAGACCCAAAGGTGCTCACAGCTCACTCTTGGCTCTGTGCTCAGGGCTCAGTCCTGGAGGACCCCTCCCGCTCCGGTCTTTCTTTAATTTTTTTTTTAAATTCCCCCCCACCCCCCGCACCCCGGCCTTTCTTACCTTTCAATCAGGTTGACTTTGGCCTGCAGCGCATTGAGCCCGCGGTACACACGCCGCCCGTTAGTCATCCTCCTGGTGAGGATTTCCATCCTGTGTTAAAAGGGGAAACTTAGTTCAAGTTCCAGGATTTCCTGAAGAATTCCCTGGCTCATCTCACCTCGGTTTCCCTCAGAGCCACTTTCTGCCTTCTGCCGCTCACTGCCCTCCAAGAACAGATGCGAGCACCAACATAGTGGGAAGGATGAAACGACACCAGGGGCTGGAGAGACGGGACAGTGGGGAGGTTGCTGGTCTGGCACACACCTGGCCGGCTGCCATCCCCGGTGTCCCACAGGGTCGCCCAAGCTCTGCCAGGACCAATTCCTGAGGGCAGAGCCAGGAGTCAGCTCTGAGCACTGCCAGGTGTGGCCCCCAAACCAAAATAAAATAAAACACAGATAAAAGTACTGGTTGGCTGGGTAGGACAGCAGAGTTGGCGAGGCCCTGCCGAGCACACGGCTGGCCCGGGTTCAGCTCCCATGTGGGTCCCGGGGCCCTGAGCACCGTTTCATGTTGCCCCCTAAAGTGAGTTAATACTCTGCAACAGGAGCATCAAGGACGGGCACGAGATGCGCAGGTGGGTCCCAGGCCTGACACACTGTCCGGGCTGCCACAGGGCGAGCAAGTGCCGCCTCCAGTATTGCCCCCAGGAAGGCCACCGGGGGCTCAGTCCCTGTGGTCACCGTCTTCCGGGACAGCTGGGACAGGTTTAAGGTCTGAGGGGGATATTTTGGGATTCCTTTCTTTTTCCTTTTGTTTCCCTCAGTTATTCGGCCATACCCAGCGGTGCTCAGGGCTTTCTGCTGGCTCTGCACTCAGGGGTCACCCCTGCTGGGATTCAGGGGACCAGACAGGATGGTGTGGACCCAAGTGGGGCTGGCTGGCAAGCACCATACCTGCTGTGTTAGCACTCTGGCATGAAAAAAAATTTTTTTTTCTTTTTGGGTCACACCTGGCGATGCTCAGGGGTTACTCCTGGAGGTGCTCAGGGGACCATATGGGATGCTGGCAATCGACCCGGGGTCAGTCACGTGCAAGGCAAACGCCCTATCCTCTGTGCTATTGCTCCAGCCCCTATGGCATGAATCTTTATCTTCTAATTCTGTTTTGTTGAGGGGTCACACCCAGCGGTACTCTGGGGTTTCTCGTGGCTCTACACTCAGGAAGTACTCCTGGCAGTGCTTGGGGGGCTGTATGGGATTCCAGGGATGGACCCCAGAGTGGCTGCATGCAAGGCAAGAGCCTTCCCGCTGTGCTATCGCTCTGGCCTCAGGAGGGAGCTTATCTTTAAAATACCTTAGGGGGGTCCCGGATATGGGAATGTGGCAGAGCACAGGGTCCCTCCGTTCTGCCTCCAACCCCGCCCCCAATAACAAATACTTCCGTGAATAAAGATCTGTGTCCCCAAACACCGCAACTGTATCACTGTAATCTGTTGATTTACTCAGCGGGCACCAGTAATGTCTTTATTTGTCCCAGCCCTGAGATTTTAGCAGCCTCTCCTTACTTGTCTTTCCCAACAACTGGAGGCTCTTTCAGGGTCAGGGGAATAACACCTGTTATAGTTACCAATTTTGGCATATTGAATACGCCATGGGGAGCTTGCCAGGCTCTGCCTGTGTGGGTGGGATACTCTCGGAAGCTTGCCGGGCAGTCTGAGGGGGCGGGGGAATAGAACCGGGGTCGGCCTGGGCTGGCTGCGTGCAAGGCAAGCACCCTATCTGCTGTGCTGGGGCGCCCCGAGTGAGAACACTGAAACACAACAGCAAAATAGCCTGACTGATGGCTCGGGGGTTAAGGCGCTTGCCTTGGATTCAGCTGAGCCTCATTTGATCCCAGCACCTCATGTGGTCCCTGGTCACTGCCAGGTATGGTCCCAGTATCCGGACACTCACCACATCACCATCAAAAAGAAAAGAGAGGGGCTGGAGAGAGAGCACAGCGGGTAGGGCGTTTGCCTTGCATGAGGCCGACCCGGGTTTGATTCCCAGAATCCCATAGGGTCCCCTGAGCACCGCGAGGAGTAACTCCTGAGTGCAGAGCCAGGAGTAACCCCTGTGCATTGCCAGGTGTGACCCAAAAAGCAAAAAAAAAAAAAAAAAAAAAAAAGGAAAAGAAACGAGGTCCCCGCTACTTATGAGCAACGGTCCACGGAATCGGGGGTCGGAGTAAGTTAAGTCGGAAGCAATCTCTGTTGGAAGGGCACGGGCACAGGACACCCTCGACAGGCCTCCTGGGAGCCCCCATCCTCGAGACCCCCCCTGCCCCCCCGCCCCTCCCAGGAGACTGAAAACTTACCACTTACTTTTGCACTGCATCCAATTCCTGGTCTCCACACGCGCCTCCACCTCCACCCAGGAAATGCCCTTGTAGAGTCGCTCCCGCACGATGGACAGGCGGTGCTCGGGGCGCGCCTGCAGCTTCGCGTCCACCTCACTCAGCTCCTGGGGAGTCAGTTTCTTCAGGATCACTTCCTCCACAGCCTTGGTCAGCTTCTGCGTCTCCTCTTTACTCCAGGCTCCACGATTTCTCTCTAGAGACACAGGAAGCTGTTGAGCGTCGCCTCTCCGCCCTCACTCGAGCCTTTAAACCAAAGCGTTGCAGGGCTGGAGCAATAGCACAGCGGGGAGGGCGTTTGCCTGGCACGCGGCCAACCTGGGTTCAATCCCCGGCATCCCATAGGATCCACCAAGCCGCACCAGGAGTGATTCCTGAGTGCAGAGCCAGGAGGAAGCCCTGAGTGTCGCTGGGTGTGACCCAAAAAGGAAAAAAAAACCAAAACAAATAACACAAAACTCATGAGACACCTACAGTCATTCATTATCACAGGATCACCATGCATACGTATGCATACGTGTCATTGGACGCATGTCACACCTCGAGTGCACATGAGCCGAGACAGGACTTGGCAGCAGAGCGGCTGCCCGCATGTATGAGGCCTGGCCTCGGAGTCCCAGGACCACCCAAAGCCAACAGTGACCCTGAAGTAAATCACAGGCTCTGAGGGTGCAGGGAGGGGTGGGTGTGGGGTGGGGGTGCAGGGTCTCAGCCACACGGGAGAGGCTCAATGGGAAATCTGTCACATGCCTTTCTATTTTTTTCCCTTCCCAGTTATTTCTTTAAAAAAAAATTTTATAAAGTTGTTCATAATCGGGGCTGGAGCGATAGCACAGCGGGTAGGGTGTTTGCCTTGCTCATAGCCAACATGGCCGACCCAGGTTCGATTCCCAGCATCCCATATGGTCCCCCGAGCACTGCCAGGAGCAATTCCTGAGTGCATGAGCCAGGAGTAACCCCTGAGCATCGCCGGGTGTGACCCAAAAAAAAGTTGTTCATAATAATGGATTACATTCAATATTTGAATACCAACTCCACCACCATTGTTTTGAATTTTCCCACCACCACTCAGGCCTGCCCGAGAGGCAGACACTAGGTCATTTATTCCGTATCGCTTGTTATGAACAGCAGTGACTGCCCGCTCCTGGAATTCTAAAATTTTAGATAACTGGGGTCCGGAGGCATCTCTGCAGTGAGCTGCTGGTTCTGAGATTCGTTTGTGGGTCTCTGGATCAAGGCCGTTAACGCGCTTAAATGGCACCCGGAGGCCATTCCTGGACGTGACAGCCAGGACCCAGGGGGCGGGGAGACGGGAAGGGGTGACCCGTCCCCGAGCCCGTGAGGCCTGGAGTTTGAATCTCAAAGTCGCAGCGAAGGGAGAGTCTCGGGCCAGCGAGCACAGGAGGCAAGGGCCTCGCCTCGCACACAGCTGTGCCACGGAGCCCAAACCAGAGAGTGAAACAATCCTGCAGCAAACAAACGGGGCCAGCGAGATGGCCTGGATGGCTGGAGTGGGTTTGCGCCCGTGACCACAAAATAATAAAAAGATAAAAATGGGAAAGCCTGGGCCGGAGCGATAGTACAGCGGGGAGGGTGTTTGCCCTGCACGCTGCCGACCTGGGTTTGATCCCCGGCATCCCATATGATCCCTGAGCACTGCCAGGAGTGATTCCTGAGAGCATCACCAGGTGTGACTCAAAAAGGAAAAGCAAACAAACAAACAAAAAACCCCAAGAAACCTATGCCCCAGGCCTGACCTGGCACCACTGTGCCCCCAGCACCCACAAGAGGACAGAGGAACCCTGAGGGTCGCAGGGCCTGCATGACGCCCCCCAGCACCAGCAGGAGTGATACCCCTCCGGCCCCTACAAAGAGGTGCAATCCTGGCAAGCCCCACAGGTGGCCACAGCCCAGCTCGGCACGCCAGGGCACAGGGACTCCCGGCTGACATGACAAAGCTAAGACCTGTTCTGAAAGTGGCCACACGTTTGACTGGTTAGAGTATGAGCCAGAGCACCACTGGGTGCGGCCTAATATCTCAACCCCGCGACCCTCACCCCCGTGAAGTATGGAACCAGAAAACTGCATGAGCGAAGAACAGAAACAGCCGACACGTGTAATTCTGGACTCACTCTGGTCAGTCACCCCCGCAGTGCTGGGGCCATTTCTAAGGTGCTCAGGGGACCGAGGGGTTAGGCCCAGTCCTTGGAGCTAGGTCCCAGACAGCAGTGCTGGTTTGGAGAAAAACCTCTGCTGAACAGGCCTGTCAAACCGCCTCCCTCCCACCCAGGGGCTTGGGGGACCCTTCACCCAGTCTTCCTCCCAGGGGCGCTGACAGCTGGGCAGTGTGAGGGCTGTGGAAAGCCACTGAATGGGATGGACACGATCGGGCTTATTTGGTTTGTCTGGGACTTGGGGTCACACCCACGATGCTGAGGGCTGACTCCTGGCTCTGTGCTTCGAGGTCACACCTGGTGGTGCTCGGGGACCACATGGGGTGTACAGGGATCAAACCCAGGTCAGCCGCGTGCAGGGCAAGCACCCTCCCCGCGGGGCCATCACTTAGGCCTGTGGCCCCGCCTTGTGAAGAAAGGCTGGCGGCTTCCTCAGACATAGACGAGGAAAGGAAGGAGACAAGCACATCCCCTGGGCTCTGCGTCTGGGCTGCACCCGGCGACGCTCGGGGCTGGCGCCTGGCTCTCCTGGCGGGGCTCAGGGCACCCTGAGGGATGCCGGGGATCGACCCCGGGCCCCCGCAGGCCGCTGAGCTGTGTCAGGCCCCCGACGAGGGAAGCAGGCCAGCTGAGGCCACCGCGCGCTCGGGGCCCCACTCACTGGAGCTGATCTGCGAGTACTTGAGGGCCACGGAGAGGCTGCTGCGTTCCACCATCTCGCCGATCTTCTTCCAGTCGTTCCCGTGCAGGGAGTGGTAGGCCTTCAGCTTCTCCTCCTCTCCTGGGCTGTATCTGCGGGGCAGGCGGGGAGGGGTCCGAAGAGCGCCAGGACAGTGGTCTGGGGCCAGCCATGCCAATGACAGGCTCCTCACCCAGTGCTCAGTCACCGGCCGTGCTCACCCCATGCCACTCCCCCGACAGTGCTCACTGCCCCCTCCACCGGTATGGAAAACCCAAAGCTCTGGGCACAGCGGGAACCGGCACGGAGAAGGCAGACTGAGGCTCACAGGAGCTCAGTGCTGGGCGGAGCAGGGTCCAGCATGGGCGTGGGCTGAGTGAGGAGGGTTGAGCAGACGGACAGGCCCGGGGCCAGCCCTGAAGCCACCCGAGCTCTCGCTCTCTCCCCCACCTTTACACCCGTCGGATCTAACTGGTCCCAGCGGGTGTGTGGCCCCCAGCGCTGCAGCGCCCCAGGGGGACGGTCTCACGCCGCTTACCTGCCTTTGTAATTATTGACATCAAACATCTTCTTCGCCCGATAGTACACGAGTTTCCAGGGCCGGGCAATGCCTTTCCCTGGAGTCGGGAGGAAAGACGGTGAGAGCAACACTGAGCAGGGGAAGAGGTGCGGACCCACCAGCACGGAGGGCCCGGGCAAGGGTCCTGCAGCCTCTGCGCCACAGCGGGCTCGGGAGATGCCCCAGGGCCCACCCCTCAGGCAGACACAGTCGCATTTGCTCTACAGCGTTTGAGGCAAGGTCCCCCGGGGCTTTTGAGTGATTTCGCCGTGATGTGAGACAGGACAAGAGGGTGCCGGGCTGGAGAGACAGAGCAGTAGCCAGGGCACCTGCCTGGCACACAGCCAGCCCAGGTCCAATCCCGGGCACCCAGATGGCTCCGCGAGCCTGCCAGGAGTCAGCCCTGGGCACCACGGGGTGTGGCCCCCAAAATACCCAAAAGAAGAGAAAGGGGCCAACATGAGGCCTGAGGACTCCCCGAGACGGAGATGTCCAAACGCAGACGGCTCACTTCCCCACCCTGACCACCAGCCCTCCCTCGAAGGGTCTCCCTCTTGTCCTTGGTGCTCTCCAGAGCCCCTAGAAAATCATTGTCTTCAAAGAGGCAGTTCAGATCAAGTGCCTAACCTCTGAGGGTTCCGGCACTAAGCACCTTCCTGGCTGCAGAGGACAGCGTGGGAGCCGGATGCACAGAGAGTGTGTGCCGGGCGTGGGTGAACTGTGATGATGGGCTGGTCTTGCCTGCAGCAGACCCAGCTGGATCCCCGGCACCACATAAGGTCCCTTGAGAACGCCCAGAGTTCACCTCTGAGCACAGAGCCAGGCACAGCCCCTGAGCACTGCTGGATATAGCCCATCCCTGCCCTGCACAAAAAAGATTGGGTGTGCAGTGCCCACAGGAGTACAGCTTACTAGGAGCAAAGACAGGCTCAACTGGCCATAAAAACTGGAGACGGGGACACAATCCAAATCCCCCAAGTGCAGGTGGGCACAGCAGCAGTGTACACGGCTGTCTACTCAGACGCGTGTCCCAGCTCGGGGTTCTCACTCCAGTTCATCTAAGGACGTGGGGGGCTGAGCGTGGCTGGGGCCCAGCCGTACACACCAACGCACACCCAGAGGGGCAGGGCGTGGTCAGGGCCGGTAGGGGACGTGCACCCAGAAGGGGTGGGGCGTGGCCAGGGCTGGGCTGACCGCACCAACGTGCACCCAGAAGGGGCAGAGCGTGATTGGGATGGGGGTGAACGCACCAGTGAGCGTCTAGAAGTCAGGTGGCGTGGCCAGGGCCAGGTCGAACGCACCAATAAGCACCCAGAAGAGGCAGAGCTTGGCTGGGATGGGGCTGAGCGCACCTATGTGCACAGAGGGGCGGGGTGCAGCCAGAGCAGGGTGGAGGGGAACTCACCTATGTGCACGCGGAAGGAGTATTTCCTTTTCAGGTCGGTAATCGCGGACTTTTCCTCTGGGTACCTGTCCGTGTACAGCAGCTTGTCTGCGCTCTCAATGCCCGTCAGCGCCAGGAAATCGTGCACATTTTGTTCCAGCTGCTTATTTTCTTTGACAGAGAACTTGCCAAATTTGATAGTGACACCTGGGAGGGCCGGGGTGGGGGACCGAGGGGAGAAGCAAGTGTCTGGTCAACACGCAACCAGGCCCGCTCTGCACGTGGCCCCGTGGGGCAGCCCGGAGCCACTGGACACTCCTTTCAGCGTGGCTCCAAGGCACCCCTCTTCCCACGAAGCCGCCCATCACCCCAGTTCCAGGGCCTTGTATGGCACAGCCTTCTCCTGAGGGTGGCAGTTTTCCACATTCAGAGTCGCCTGCCCCTCATGACTGAATGGCCAGGTGCACCGAGCTGGCATGAGCAGAAACACCCCAGGCCCCCCGGGTCCCTGCCTTGTTCACTCTTTGCTCTCAAAGCACTGCACCATGGGCTGATGCACTGGGCACTTCATTTTCCTCTATCAATTCTTTTCTTGTTTGTGGGAATGCCGGGGACCAACCCAGGTCCCATGCATCCAAGGGCTTTGCCACTGAGCCACACCTCTGGCACTTACCTCCATTTTTGGTAAAAATTTCAACTTAAGACTGTAACAGGGAGGGGCTGGAGCAATAGCACAGTGGGTAGGGCGTTTGTCTTGCAAGCGGCCAACCCGGGTTCAATTCCTAGCATCCCATATGGTCCCCCGAGCACCGCCAGGAGTAAATCCTGAGTGCAGAGCCAGGAGGAACCCCTGTGCATTGTTGGGTGTGACCCAAAAAGCAAAATAAATAAAAAACTTTTAAAAAGACTGTAACAGGAAAAACAGGCTCGCTCTACAGATCCTGCACTAGCAACTGCGGAGTGGGGGGAGGTTGTTTTGGGCGACACTTGACAGTGTTCAGGGTTTACTCCTGATGGGCTGAGGGGACAGAAATGGGGCCAGGACAGCCAGGACCAGCCACAGGCAAGCCAAGTGCTCCCCCGCTGGCCTGCTCTCCTCCCACCCCAGGGTGTTTCACTGGCGGGGGGAGGGATCAGACCACACACCAGGACACATTCTAACACAGCCACAGCTCAGGGTCTTAAACCTCTCTACCAGACGAATCTCATCAGGCTTTGAATTCTTCCCCATGACCAGTGGTGCAGACCCATGCAGGAGCAGCAGAAAAGTGCTCCTTCACTCCTAACCCGACCAGCTTGCTGGGAGGTTCGTGTGGCAGTGACAGCCGGGAGGCTGCCAGGCTGCCGCCGGGCTGTCTTGCCTGCGTTCCCCAGAGCTGCTGCCACCCTCCCGGGTTCCCTCTTATCCCCTGCCCCGCGCCTTCCACAGCCCCACGCGACCATTCCCCTGGGCCTCCGGTCTGTGGCTGCATGGCCAGCCGAGAGCTGCTCCTGCCAGGTGACCTCACCCTGAGCCTTGAACTCCTTGAAGCGCCCCAGGTCGTCCCGGTACATGCGCTTGATGGTGGTGGCGGCGCGGGCGCTGATGTTGGGGATGAACTCTTGCAGCTGCCTCACGGCTGAGCCCAGGTCCACGTCTGAGTCACCCGAGTCCTCGCCTGAGTCCTGGGGACCTTCCGACGGGCGTGTGCTCTCGGCATCTTGGGCCTGGTCCTTGGTGCTCTTGTCTGGGAGCTGAGACCTGTGGGTGCGAAGGGCGGCAGGGATGGTCCCCATGAGCATCTGAGGCTTGAGGAGCTCTGAGTCTCTTCACGTGAATCCCACTCAGACTGACGAATGCTCGAGGCGAAAGGGATCTCCAAGATCAGGAAGTCCATTCTATCTGGACTCTTATATTACTTGTTTTCAGTTTTCGTTCCTGGTTACATCTTAAGGTGCTCAGGGCTTACTCCTGACTATGCTCAGGAAACCATCTGGGGTGCTGGGGATCAAACATGGGTCAGCTGGGTGCAAGGCAAAGGCCCCACCCGCTTTTTATCACTCTAGTCCCCCCAAATGAACTTGACCAACTCAAATATACTCCCGAGGCTGCAAAGGAAGTAAATGACTCCTGAGCCCTGATATTCACCAGGCTTTTTTTTTTTCTTTTCCCATTTTAGATTTTAACTACTATTTTGGTGGGTGGGGCCACAGCTCGTGGCGCTCAGGGGTCTGGCCAGGCAGCACCAGGGACCAAACCGAGGGCTTCAGAATGCAAGGCATGTTCACCAGTCCTGGGACTGTCTGGCCTGGATCTTGTCTTCTTCCATCCAAGAACCAGGCCAAACCCTGCTTAGCTTCTGAGATAGACCAGATCGGGTAAGGGAGGAGGAAAGGAAGGAGGGAGGGAAGGAGGGGAAGGAGGGATGAAGGGAGGGAGGGCACGGAGAGGGAAGAGGGAAGACCCTGCTTGACAGGCCCTGCCCGACTGGGGCCCGTCACTGCATCCTGCATGGGGACCAGGAGGTGAGCAGAGCACTCACCCCGTGCGTTCCCTGGGCCGCTCCTCCGTCTCTGGGGTCTCTGGGATCTCCTCTCGGGGCCCGGGCCTAGCACTCTCTGCCACCCCCGCGGTCCTGAGGCCTTCCTCAGGCTCTGCAAGTGGGTGCCCGGGGCTCCCCTGGGGTGCAGACCCTGCCACCCCGCTTCCAGGAGCTCTCAGCTGCCTTTTCTTGGTCTTCTTCCTGCTGCCTTTCTCAGCACCGGGTCCCGCGGTGGCCTCCGTGCTATCCACCGGCTGGTCCTCTGGGGGCCCGCTCCCTGTGGGCTCGGGGGGCGCGGCGGCTGGGGCCTCGGGGTCCCAGCTCCCCGAAAGCACCCTCCTCTTCTTTTTCTTGGCTTTTTTACTGTGCCCCTGTCCTGGCGGGGGAGCAGGAGAAGTTTCGGGCACGGGGAAGGCCCTCAGCTGCGAGGGGCTGGGTGTGCGCGGGCTCTCCCACTCATCCCCCCAAGGCCCGTGGCAGGGTGTCCCCTGCGGGTTGAGCTGCTCCCCATCATTGCCTCGGGGTGTGCTGGGCTCTGTGTCACGAGGCTGTTTCTTCTTCTTCTTCTTGGCCTGAGAATGCTGTTCCTCAGGCTCCTTCTGAGGGGAACTCTCAGCTGCGGAGGAGTCAGGGGCCCCGGGCTCGGGGGTGGCCCCTTGGACCTTGCTCATGTCCACGTACACGACATCGACGTCCCTCCGTAAGTTCTCGGGCTCATTCTCACTGTCTTCTCTGTCCACCAGGACATATGCGACCCCCGTTTCCTCATCCACTCCCAAGGCACTTCTTTTCCGCTTCTTCCTGTGGGGGGCCACAGAAGCTAGCCCCGCAGCCTCGGGGCTGTGCTGGGCTTCTGGGAGTGGGTGCGAGGGTGGCAGGGCCTCCCTGCTCCCCTTCTTCCTCTCAGCGCCCCCGGGCTGTTCCTCGGTCAGCGTGGAGTCCCCAAGGCCCGTGGGCGCCAGTGGCTCTGGGCTCTCCCTCCCTGGGGAGTCGAACTGCCTCTTCTTCTTCTTCTTCTTCTTGTCAAGCACGGGACTGAGCCCTTCCAGGCTGCCCGGTTCACCTTCCATTCTGTTCCTGGAGGGACAGGAGAACAATGGCTTACTCATCCCCATCCTTGTTACTTGGTGCCTGGGCACATCGAACCCAGGTCTCACACCTGCCCGGCCACATCCCCATCCCTTGCATTTTCAACATCCACCTCAGGAAAAAGAAAAAGAAACTGCGAAGGAAACTGAAAGTGTCAGACAGATGAGCCAGCCCCACCCCAACCCAAATGCCCGGATGTGCCACCCTGCAGTCTGGCTCAGTGCCTCTGCCAGGAAGGCCTGGGCCCACCTGGCCTCACTCTCCATCCCCCGGCCACAAGGGCCTTTCCACATCTCTCCTGATTAGGGACATGGAGACTAGGATTTTCTTGGCTTCCTCCTCACAACTTTCAGTCCTCAGCTTGGATAGTAAGTTTTTGGTTTTGGGGCCACACCTGGCAGTGCTCAGAACTTACTCCTGGCTCTGGGATCACTTCTTAGGGGGCTTGGTGGACGCCCCCCATAGGACCCAGAATTGGACCCCGGTTGGCCGTGTGCAAAGCAAGCGTCTTAACCCCTATGCTCCCTCTCTGGCCCCCAGATGTCATTTCTTCAAGGCAGATTTCCTGACCGCTTTGCCTGGGCCTGTTCCCCAAATAAGTTATGAGGGATGCAGAGGTCATCCCAGCAGTGCTTGGGGACCACCAAGCAAGACTGCAACTGAGTAGCACTGACCCCCCAAGCCCCACTTGCAACTGAAGAGTGAGTCCTAGGAAGGCCCACAGCCGAGATGCGGCCACCCACAGGCAGTGACCCAGACATGCCACAACCACACTGAATGTGGCCCCCCCTTACTGCAATAACGGTTGGGGGAGGGGGATGTGGGCGGAATCGGGGGACTCAGGCTGGTCCTCTAAGGTGCAGACAGCACAAGGGGCACAAGAACTGCCCAAGGGCTTATGCTCACAAGGCACAGAGCACGACATTCCTAACTGACGCCCATCCCGAATGGTCAAAGAGCATGTGTGTCTGCGTGTGCGTGTGGGTCTGTTAACTGCAACCCTCCACCTTAGAGCAATGCAGTGGCTCGTACCTCTACCTTCCGGGCTGCCCCAGGCCTGATCCCCAGCCTACCAGGTGTGACCCTTAGTTCAGAGCCAGGAGTCAGTCTGGGTATGGCCCCAAAGCCAAAACGAACTCAAATATCATACAGTGATCTCTTGCAAAAACCCGAGGGTTCCCATACTCAGAGGCCTAAATCCTTGCAGGTCTCCTGACAGGGCACGTGCAAAGCAGCTCCTGGTCCCTGTTTTCTTTCTTTCTTTTTTTTTTTTTCTTCTTGGGTCACAGCAGGGATGCACAGGGGTTACTCCTGGCTCTGCACTCAGGAGTTAACTCCTGGTGGTGTTCGGAGGACCCTACGGGATGCCGGGAATCGAACCCGGGTTGGTCGCGTGCATGCAAACGCCCTCCCTCCCCTCTGTGCTATCGCCCCGAGGCCCCGCGCTTTCCCGCCAGCAGCCGATAAGGCTCGCCCGCCAAAGGCGCCTCTCCCAGGCCGCCGATAACCCCGCTTCCCGGTCCTGGTCTGGGCCAAAGCTCCCAGCGCACGAACCCGCGATCCGTCCCTCCCACGCGGAGACCGAGGATCGCAGCAGGTTTAGTAAGGGGCTGGGATCAGGGCCGCCCGACGGAGCCCTCCCCAGCGCGCCCAACTGTCCCCAGGGTCCCCCCGCGGCGCCCCCCCAGCGGCCCCCGCTCCCCCGTGTCCCTCCCAGTGTCCCCCTCCCGTGTCCCTCGCTCCCTCCGCGTGTCTCCCGGCCCCCCGTGTCCCTCCCCGAGTCCCCCGGACCCCGTGTCCCCCGCCCGCTCCCGAGCTGGCGCCAACTTCAGAGCCCGGACTCTGGGACGCGCGTCCCGGGCAGAAGCAGCCGGGAACGACGCGCCCAGCCTGGACTGGCCAGGGCCAGGGCCGGGGTCGCGCCGAGTCCGCCCCGAGAGGCCCGACACGCGGGCGGGGGGGGGGACCCCCGAGCCTCGCCGCCACGCCGCCACTCACCGTCCCCGGCGCCGCCGCCGCCGCCGCCGCCGGCCGCACCCGGAAGTCCGACGCCTGGAGCCGGAAGTCGGGCGACGTCACTTCCGAGTCTCCGCCCGCGTCGCGCTGCCATGGCAACGGGCACGCCGCCGCCGCCGCGGCGTGGTGGCCGAGTCGCGGTGGGCGGCGTGTGAGAGCGAGGCCGGGGGGCCGGGGGGTGAGAGGGGGTGCCGGCTCGGACCCGGGCTCCAGGCCAGATTTCCCCGAGGGGCTAGAGTGCGGCCGAGGGCCGCGAGGCAGCGAGATGTTTCCCGTGTCCCCGCTAACCCAGCTCCGCAGCTCCCGCTGCCCTGCCCGCCTGGAGCTTGGGGTGGCGGCGTTGCTGGGGGCGACGCTGTCCTGGAGTCATGGGGTCCATGAAGGGCCTGGGAGCCTGAGTGGTGGGGGCTCCCAGTCCAGCCTGCGACCTTCTCCCTCCAGAACAGGGAGGCTCCCGCGGGCCTCTGGGGAGAACAGCGCACACGCCACCCGAGCACTCAGCCTCGGGCAGCCCCGACACTCACTTTCCAGTTGGATCTGGCCACCCCCACTTGGTGTTTGTGGCGGGCTTGAGCAGACACCCTCATGGGGTAGAAAACTCCGCGTGCAGTTAAGCTGAACTGGGTCAGCTGTCTAGCCCAGGCAGGATCCAACCCGTGTTACCAGGGCCCCTGCCTCCTCCCCACGCCCCCACTTCCTCCGTGTGAGTGGCAGAGAGGCTCTGGGGGGCGAGCGTGAGACCCAGTATTCCTCGGGTGCTCCCTGCACCCCTGCTCTCTGCCACAGAGCACTCACCCTCTCTCTGTCTTTTGGGGTGTGTGTGGGTGGGGGTTACAGACTGTTTCTGGGGGCAGGGGGGACCCATACCCGGCAGTGCTCAGGGGTTATTCCTGGTTCTGGCTCAGGGCACCATATGGGATGCCAGGGATTGACCCAGGTTGGCTGCAAACGCCTTACAAGCTCCAGCCCCCTATTCTAGGTTCTGTGCTTGGCACTGGCCCCTGGGAATGCCAAGGGACTTTATGTGGGGCTGAGTAAGTCCTTTAAGCCCTGCACTGTCTCTCTATCCTGGTTTCTTTTTCCTTTTTTGTTTTGGGCCTCATCCAATGGTGCTCAGAGCTTGTTCCTGGCTCCAGGCTCAGGAATCACTCCTGCTGGCACTTGGGGACCATATGGGGCACCAGGGATCAAACCAGGGTCGGTGGTGTGCAAGACACTGCTGTCTATCGCTCTGGCCCACTTTCTTTCCTATGTACAACTCAAGGAAACTTCCCCAGGAATTTGTAAAGTTAGCACAACTTTTTATTTCATTTTTACTTTTTCAGGTTGGGGGCCACAATAGGGGGAACCTCCGGGGTGCCTGGGATTTAACCAGGTGGGCTCACACAGGCAAGGCAAACGCCCTAGTTGCTGTTCTCCCTCTCCAGACCCAACTTCTTTTGGGGGGGGGTCACACCCGGCGATGCACAGGGGTTACTCCTGCTGGCTCATGCACTCAGGAATTACCCCTGGAGGTGCTCAGGGGACCATATGGGATGCTGGGAATCGAACCCGGGTCGGCTGTGTGCAAGGCAAACACCCTACCTGCTGTGCTATCGCTCCAGTTCACCCCCCCCCAACTTTGAAAATATACCAGGAGCGAGTATATTTCTGGGAGCCAAACAAGCTGGTTTTCCATCAAAGACCCAAATCCTTGCAGAGCTTGCAGAGCTACCGGGAGGCTCTTCACGCAGGGATCAAACTACCTCCCGCGGGGGCTGCTGTCTTGCGCATCTGCTCAGAGACTCCCCGTGCTCCGGGCCAGCGTTTGCCACCTCTTCCCGGGGGCTGCAGGCTCCCATCACCCCTCCATCTGAGTCCGAGGGCGACCTCGCTTTTCCGATTTTGCTTTCGCAGGCAACGCTGAGGGTCAGAGGGTCAGTCTCATGCCAGGGCCAGGGCTGTGGAAGGCGGTCCCCAGCCCACCCTCCGCCCTGCCAGCCCCGCCGTCGCCTGGTCCCACCCGGGAGGAAGTCTCGTTGTGCCATTTCCGGTTCCCGCTGCCATAGCAACGCGACGCTACCCGGTTTCCCGCGCCTTCTGGCCCCGCGTCTGGTGGGCAGGAGACGGTGCTGGGACACCCGCGGGGGGCGAGGCCGCCGGTGGCGCCAGTTCCTCACGCGGCTCTGCTGGGGTTGGGGGGGGGGGTCTCCGCGGTGCCCGGGATCCGGTGGGCCTCGGGGTGCAAGCGCCCAGTCCCGGACCCCCCCCCCCCCCACCCCGCAGCTCGGGCCCACCGGCCGCTGCGGTCCCGACCCCGGGGACAGGCGACAATCAAGGGATTCGGATTCCAGCGGATCCACCCAGGAAAACAGGACAGGCCGGTGGCACAGGGTCTCGGACACCTGCTGCTCCCGAGGACGCCCGGGGAGCCCCGGGGGCCGGAATCGGAAGGGAGAGGGCGAGGGGGGCTGGAAACGGGGCCTCAGAGGGGCCCAACGAGCCCGCCCCACCTCGCCCCGGCTGCGGCCAACCCTGGGAGAAGCACGGCTCCCCCAGACCACGAACGCTCTGCAGGAAGAGCAGAGATGCTTCTAGAAAGCGCGCGTGGGTTCTTTTGCGGAGGCGATGGGTTCCCGCAGGTGGATTTGATTTGTATTGTCCCGAGGTATCATGGCTCCAGCAGTTACTGTTTATTATGCTTGGGGGTTCCAAATCAAGATGCCAGCTGTTAGGTCTTTCCCAGGATGCCACAGGCCTGACAGGACTCGAACTGGTGCCAGTCGGGCCCAGAGAAGGCTTGGAGAGAAGCTTGCAGGAAAGCAGGGTCCAGACAGGACACGAGGCCGACCCCGGAAAGTTCCAGTTCTGTCCCCTGACCTCGCCATAGCAATGGGCTCTAAAGGCCACATGGGGGCAGCTGGGGAGAAACCCTATGAAACCAACTAGCAAATGGTGTCGGAGACAGCATGAGCGCCTAGAGATGGT